CCAGGACAGGAAGTGGTCTCCTCCTACAGAGGACACAGAGACGCTGAGGAGACACCTGACACTAACCGAAACCAGAACCCAGCATAGAGAGGTTCAGTGAATGTGATTCTGAAGGTGTGGAGGTGGGTCAGTGTGTCAGAGGAGACTCTGTAGAAGGAGAGAGAGCCAGCAGGATGATCCAGATACACTGCTACTCTACCAGAGGGGGAGAAGGAGGAGGAGGAGGAGGAGGAGGAGGAGGAGGAGGAGGAGGAGGGGATGCGTATTGATGTGTTATTGTGACAGACATCGTAACCATAACCAGTGCATTTCAGACTCCAGGACTGATCATTCTCTCCAAACCAACAGTCCCCTCTGTTTCCTCTCCTGCTGATTCCTCTGTAAGTCACTGATATACGAACCTCTCCTCTCCACTCGAACTCCAAGTAACAGCGACCAGTCAGAGCTTCTCTGCACATCAGCTGAGGCAAGTAGGAGTCAAACCTCTCTGGATGATCAGGATATGGCTGCTCCTCTCTCACACATGTCACCTTCCTGTTGTCCTCAGACAGTTTGAGTTCTCTGTATGCTGTGTTTGAGTCCAGGGTGAGTTCACAGGAATCTGATGAGAGACACAGACAGCAGTTTATCATCAGACTCACCTGAAGGCTTTACTCTCTGTTAGTGATCCTTTCTATAATAGCGCTATATAAGGCCCCGTCCACACGGAGATGATATCAGTTGAATCCGCTAATGTTCTCTATCGTATAGACGGTTCGTCCACACGAGGCCAAAATGGAGCCGTGGATTTGGAGCCCAAATCTGATAGACTTTGATAACGGCTCCCAAAGTGGGTAGGTCTGGGGACGAAACGCTTGCGGCTCCGTGTGTGTACGCCCTATACCAGGGGTGCCCAACCAGTCGATCGCGAGATGTGTCTAAAAATAGAACAACAATATTCTGTTTTATCGTTAATGTCCTATAACATAATCTTCCTGTGCCAGAATAATGCACTTGAACGCATCAAAGCTTTGTGATTGGCCGGCGTGACCCCATGTGTCGGGGCGTGGCTGGTAGGCAGTGGGCAGTGGGCACTAGTTTGCTGTGCAGTCCGCACACACAAGACCGCACTTATGGCAGAAGCAAAAAAGCCCAAAATATATAATTTTCACTCCGAGTGGGAGGATGATTATTTTTGTATCTATTCCAATTCAAAGTCTATCTGTCTCATCTGCAATGCGAGCGTGGCTTTATCGAAGAAGGGTAATTTAGGAGCGGCATTTCAAAACAGTGCACAAACGCTACGAGACGGAATTCCCTCCTAATTCTGCCCTACGCTCCCAAAAGGTGAGGGACCTGAAAGGACAGCTAAATGCACAGCAGTCCATTTTCACCAGGCCCAACAACAAGAGCAAGGCTGCTACCATAGCATCTTATCGTGTCAGTCACGTTCTGCCAAACACATGAAGTCTTTCAAAGACGGCAAAGTTGTGAAAGAAGCATTCCTGGAGGCTGCCGACGCGCTTTTTGGGGACAGTAAAAATAACAGTAGCATTTCAACAGGTTTTTGATATAATAAAAACTCAAGTTAGATACCGTTATTAATCAGCTGTATGTTTTAGTTTGTTTGAACTTATTCATTATAATTATTGTACAAAATGGTATAAGAATGCAAACATGAAGATCTGTTCTGTTTAAATTGATTATAGTCTATTATCAATTCAGGTTGAGAAACTAATGTTGCTTGCATCCTATTTTAAAGGCATTTATTTGTATACTCTACTAAAATGCAGGGTTGCGTTAGTGCTCCAGACGCTACTGACCATGCTACAGATGTTAGTGAACAAATGTACAACTCCTCTACTACAACCACCAGCAACAATAATAATATAATATAATAATAATAATAATCGTCATCGGTCTTATTCGCTGCTTTTGGTGTATTTTGTGGCGGAAGTACAGCACCACTTACAGGCCCAGCATATGTACTACAGCGTCTCCAGCGTTTTCGTGTGGACGGATACGTTTCTTGAGCCGATTCCGTGTGTTTAAATGTGATGCATGCTAGTCCCAGGGCCGGTTCTGACCAATTTTCTGCCGGCAAGACTTTAGCTGGCCTGCCACTCCCTCTCTCTCTCTCTCCTCTCTCTCTCCTCTCTCTCTCTCTCTCTCTCTCTCTCTCTCCTCTCTCTCTCCTCTCTCTCTCTCTCTCTCCTCTCTGTGTGAGCTGCGGGCGCCTGAATGTTGTTACATCAAGGCCGTTATGAGCGCCAGCCATCAAACATGTTTTTTTCCCCCCCAGATCTGCTAAAAACCGGCCCTGTACCCACCTGAAGGCTTTACTCTCTGTTAGTGATCCTTTCCAGGGCCGTCCCTCCCTACAGTCAGATAACGCAGACTGCGTGGGGCATCACCTTGCGGAGGCGGCCTCAACTGAGCTGCAAATGCGGCGCACCTATTCGCTTATGCGGCGCAATTAGTGTGACGCGGCACGGCTCCACTAGCACCACCCGTCGACGTCGACGCTCGTGAAACAGAGGGCCTCATCATATCACTTTGCGTGGCCTCAAGTTGGCCAGGGACGGCCCTAATCCTTTCTATAATAGCGCTATATAAGTGTCATGTATTATTATTATTATTATTATAGAGTTTAAAGGCGATGCATGCCAGTCATGTTTTAATGAATAAATAGCACCTCCATCATCTTTGTCTTTAGAGAGAAGCTGACTGATCCACACTTACACTTCCTCAGACCTGGTTTTAACCTCTGCTCTCCACCATGGTCCAGCCTGGAGGAAGAAACACAGTCAGGATGATGTTCTATCCAACATGAGTCCTAGCTGCTGGTACCTCGTGAAACAGAGGTTACTTTCTTAGAGCAAGCTTTTTTATTCTTATTTACTTTTTGTTGGCGTTTAGTGTCAAACATTGTCACAGCATATTGTACATTGCATCTTTACATGAAGGACATACATCTGTTCATAGCTCTTTTCAGCAATATACACATGATGACACAAAAAGCACAGAGGAGAAAGACATAAAGAAAGAAAGGAAAATAAAATAGAACAACAGTGAACAATTAGGGAGTAGACATTTCTTTACAGCAGAGTTCTGGATCTGTGGAAACTAAGTCAGGCCTTTAGGGCTTTACAAAGTGAGTCCACTTCTCACAGGTTGGAGTAAATTGACCAATGTATGATTGACAGATGCTGTTATCTTTTCTATATTATAAATATCCATTGAGATGTCCATCCATCCATTTAGAGTCGGGCTATGCTTCGATAACCACTTCCTGGTTAATGCCTTTTCAGCAGAATGTTCAAGAAGTATTTGTCCTTTCTCAAATTCCTAAAGTATAACATCTTGATCTCTAGAGGTATTATGTCTTTGAAAATGTCTTGTAAGGCGTTGTGTATCTCCTTCCAGTAGTCTTTGATACCTGGACAGTCCCAGAATACATGGAAGTGGTTTGCATTCTGGTTACCACAGTTCCTCCAACATATAGGGGGGGTCCTATCATAGTGGGACTTCTGAGAGGGCGGAATAAAATATCCTATCAGGTTCTTCCAGGTATATTCCCTCCAGTTCTGCCAGCTGATACATTTCCATTGATATCTCCACATTGTTACCCATTCTTCTCCAGATATATGTATCCCTCCTTCCTGCTCCATCTTCTTTATTATGTAAGTGAGTGTTTTTTAAGGTTTGTCAATCCTTTGTATACACATGATACGGTTCTACCGTTAACATCTGCGTTATACGCTTTCCTAAACATTTCTATCAAACCTACACTTGCCTCTGACACTTTTTCCACTTTCAAATGAACATAATGCCGTACCTGAAGATATCCATAAAAGTCCTGTTTCTCCAAAGTCTATTTCTCTTTGAGGGTATCCAAACTGAGCAATGCTCCCCCTTTCATCAGCTTGCACAGAGCTGTTAGACCTTTTAGAGCCCAGTCCCTAAATCTAGTATCCAATCTGTTAGGCATGAAATCTGAGTCATATGCACACCATTTGAGAAAGATAGTATCATTCTCCAATTTGTATTCTTTTTAGGGCTGTCAGTCGATTAAAATATTTAATCGCGATTAATCGCAAATTAATCGCACATTTGTATCTGTTCTAAATGTACCTTAGAGGGATATGTTTCAAGTTTTTAATACTCTTATCAACATATGAGTGGACAAATATGCTTTATATGTTTGTTTATTGACAAATATTCTCATGAATATTAAACACAACAACCTCTGAACATTACAAATATTCGCCTCAATTCAACCTGGAGCCTCTCTCATACAATAATACAATACAAAGTCTGTGTGTGTGTGTGTGTGTGTGTGTGTGTGTGTGTGTGTGTGTGTGTGTGTGTGTGTGTGTGTGTGTGTGTGTGTGTGTGTGTGTGTGTGTGTGTGTGTGTGTGTGTGTGTGTGTGTGTGTGTGTGTGTGTGTGTGTGTGTGTGTGTGTGTGTGTGTGTGTGTGTGTGTGTCATACAAAATAATGACTCAAACTCAAAAAATAGTTTATTTGTAATTTAATATCCAACAACTTATCTGTTGCCTTTGTTTAAAATGTTAGTTATATCTGCAGTTTTCTCCTCTATATCTTAGCTCAAACAAATGTTGTTTCAATCATAATAAAGCTGATACTTGTCTGACATGTTGTTTACATATGCCAATGAGGCGTTATGTAGTGCTTACCTTTGTTGAATTTAGGAGAAATCTGCAGACACAAACAGACAAAGTTGGTAAAACAAACTCCTGAATGTGGATTTTGGATGTTTCCTTTCCACTAGTCTGACAGAAAACATCCAAAAGAATGACTAGAGAATAAAAAAACATGTTGTTTTGTGACGGAAAGGAGTTAGAGTTAGGGTCAAACACACTAAACTCACAACTTAAAGTGAAAGTCAGTCGTTATCTGAGTCAAATCTGCAGAAAATAAACAAGTCAGACATACAAACGTCTTTTAAATGAATTTAAAAACATCTGGAAATGTAATATACGCACATGAAGCCGTCATAATATCGTAGTATTATATAGTCTTTATTAAAATATCAACACAACATCAGTACAAACTCTATGCAGAAACAACAACAACAATAATGCCACCATCCTTATTAACTCACACATATTTACACACACAAATTCAAGTTTGATTTTATACAACAAAAGTGCATCAGATATAAATGTGGAAATAATAAACAACATGTGTTCGTAAGACGCATTTACAATGTCCATTAGTGTAAAATAAAATTAAAAAAACAGCCATCTTAGGTAGTCTTGTGTTTTCTCTTTTACATTTTGTATTCATTTTCCTCAGTATTTAATACTTTTTAGTGGTAAATACTGCAGGTTTTTATATTTAGTTTCATCTTCTGCTTTCAGAACCCACTTTATATCACAGGTAGAGTCTCGTGATGCATTCAGGGGATCATTTTCATACATATGGCAGCTGCCTTTACAAATGATGTCTACAAGTCTATCTGTTTACCTGCTGTGCAAAGGATTGTGGGTCAGAAAAGCATGCCGGTATCTTGGCACACTGTGTTTGACAAACTCTGTATTTGGACGCACTAAACCTTTTCTAACAAACTAAATAGTGTCCGAATGAAGTCCAACACCTCTGAGTCTCTGCAGCTCACAGTTTGACCTCTCAGAAGCACTACTCGTGTTTTAAATCTGTGAATTTATGAGTTGAAGAACTGTGACATCACAGCTCCTCTGCTGCCTTCCCATTGGTCGACGGCTGCTCCTCCTCTTCCTGTCTCCGGCGTCTGTTGAAGAAGCCGAGCTGAGAGGAAAACAGAAGAAGTTCAAACATCAAACTGCATGAAGGACAACATTAAACGTATAGACAGCAGGGCTTTTGTTTACACTTAAATGATTTCAAACATGAGTAATACTTTATTATTAAGATAAGATAAGATTGACCTTTATTAATCCCTGTGGGGAAATTCAGTAGTTTAAACAGCAACAGGGTGAGAATGAAAAACAGGACAGATTCACAGATTAGAGATTAATAAATTAAAAATACAATTAAAATGATATACAGTTAAGTAACTTTAAAAAATAAGAAATGAATTAAAATGAACATAGATACATATTTGGGTCATATATCCATATTAAATATATTGACATGTATGTGTGCCGGTAAAAAGTTATTGTGAAAACTGGGGTTACGTATTGTAACCCAGCTTCTATGAGTATAGGCGCAGCCCTCTAAGGCTATTGCTATTGGGTAATCCCACTGCACATGTGCAGCACTGACAGACTTAATCCACGCCCACCTATGACGTGGGCCCCACCTACGGCCTCACTTCCGTATAAATAGGAAGTAGGCCCGACCATCTGCTCCCACACAAACAGCTTTTCTTCAGCTATTCCCGGAGCCAGTGGGGCCCGAACTTTAGAGGGCTGCGCCTATACTCATAGAAGCTGGGTTACAGTACGTAACCCCAGTTCTATATCGTATAGGCTTCGCCCTCTAAGGCTATCGCTATTGGGTTAAGGGCGAAGCAGGATGTAGTCCACGCCCCACTGGTCCGTCCGTTACCAGAAGTACAAAAAACACATCTACTCAATTAATAACCCATGTCCATTGCGCCATGAGGGAATGAAGGTAAATACCTGTCGTTATAAAAAGTAGAGACCAGAGTCCCACTTGTTACAACAAAAAAAGAGGGGAAAAGGGCAGCTCTCTGATTGCCGACAGGCAGGAGAGAGGGCACACAGTTGTGTCCCCGACATTACTCACTCTGACAGGACACTGAGTACTGAGTGTGTCAGAGAGTGATGGGAGACATCCCTCAAATAAAAAACGAATAAAAGAACAGGGGGAAGACCAAGATGCCGCAGTGCAAATGTCTTCCACTGTCATTCCTCCGTGCAACGCCGTAGAGGTTGAAATTCCTCTGGTGCCGTGCGCTTGATGTTCTCCGGGGGATCCACCACAGAGGAGAGATACGCCTGTGACACAGCCTCACACAGCCAGTGTGACAGGCGTTGTGCAGACAGAGGCTGCCCCATTGAGCGCTCTCTGTAATGCACAAACAGACGCTGGGACCTGCGCAACGCAGCCTTGCATGCCGTATAGCATGACAGCGCGCGCACGGGACGGAGGAGATGAGATGTGGCTTCCTCCTCTGATGTGTGAGGAGGAGGAAAAAAAACATTCAAAGTTATCACTCACGCGCATAACAGCTGAGCTGCCATCTCCTTGGATCTGGAGACATGACGGAGCCACAGAGAGAGCAGACAAATCACTCACCCTTTTAGCTGATGTCAGAGCCAAGAGCAGAGCTACTTTGGCTGACAAGAACTTCAGGGGGACCTGATCTAAAGGTTCAAATGGAGCTTTTCTCAGTGCGCGTAACACCAAAGCCAAATCCCATTGAGGCGCCAAAGTGCGTGACACAGGTCTGAGTCTCTGTACTCCCCGTAGAAAATGTTTTGTCAGCGGGTGACTAAACACCGTGCTGACACCAAAACCTACGTGGCAAGATGAAATGGCAGCAGCGTATGTTTTGACTGTGCTATAAGCCAGATTCCTGTCCAGTAACAGCTGGAGGAACGACAGCACGTGAGGCAGGGGGCACGTAACGGGGTCCAGGCTTTTTCCTACACACCAACGGAACGCTGTCCATTTGGCTGTGTAGGATGCTCCGGTGGACGCGGCCCTTGGACATGAGGTCTGCCCCTCTGTTCAACTCGCCGGGAATATACACTGCTCTGATAGAGAGCAGCCTATACGTGTGTTTACACCCAGCACAGCAGCCGCCTGGCTGTGTTCATCAGCTGCGCTGATCGTACACCTCCCTGGCGATTTATGTAGGCCGCCGCTGCGTTGTTGTCTGTTCGAATCAACACATGTTGACTGTACAGCAACGGGGCGAAGTGCTGGATTACTCTCCATACGGAGAGTAATTCCAGCACGTTTATATGGAGAGACATGCGAGCCGGCCACTGTCTCCCCACTGCCTGTGACATGCAAGTTCCTCAGCCTGCGAGAGATGCGTATGTGAACACTGCGGTGTGTGACGTCACTCTGCCCAGGGGCACCCCCACTGACAGGACGTGGAGATTTTTCCAGTAGGTTAAAACCAAACCCACGGAAGGAGGAATGTACACCATGCGTCTCGTCTGACGCACGGGGTCGATGCGCAGGCGAATAAACCACCTCTGGAGTCTCCTCATGTGAAGGAGACCCAGGGGGATCACCACGTGACCAGCTGACATCATGCCTAACAGCTGCATCACGGAGAGGGCTGTCACCGCCCCGCGGGGTGTGATGCGCCGGAGGAGAGCTGTCACTTTCTCCACTCTCTGCTGTGAGAGTCGCGCTCTCTGCTGTGAGAGTCGCGCTCTCCGCTGTGAGTCGCGCTCTCATGCGGGCTGAGTTCAATTCCACTCCCAGTTAAATGATAACCTGGGAGGGAAGAGGACAGCTCTTCTTCCAGTTGGTAATGAAACCCAGGCTTGACAGATGAGATACGAGCTGTATCGTCTGTAAAGCCGCTTCCTCCCTGGAGCGAGTCAGCCACAGCCGGTCGTCCAGGTAAAATAACACTCTCATCCCCATTCTGTGCTGCTCCAACCGTCTCCACCCACTTTGAAAAAGTGCGTGGAGCCAGGAATGAGAAACGCAATTTGCTGTGTTTCGGGATGATGGTTACGTGGAGGTAAGCATCCTTCAGGACTATGGATGTGAACCAGTCTCCCTGGTGAACACACTCCAGCACCTGTTTGATCGTCAGCATGGGAAAAGGCCATTCCCTTGTTGAACACTGACAGATCGAGGATGGGTCTCATTCCCCCCGCCCCGTCTCCTTCGGGACCAGAAAATAGCGGGAGTAAAAACCCATGATTTTCTTCCCCTTGAGGAACCCTGGAAAAAGGCTTCCTTTAACAAGAGTTCCTGCCGCTCTGCACGGAGCGCGAGACACTGTTCCTGGGATGACAGGGTTCCCTGTATCCCGTAGAACTGCGGGGGGGAGAGGCGAACTGCAGAGACTACCCTCTGCCCATCCGCCTGCTCATCCATCTGTCCATCAGACACACGCACTGCCACCCTGAGTAATACTCTGATAGCGCCAGGTGTACATCCTCTGGATGTGCTGTGGTTGGTGGCAAACCACGCCAGAGCCCTCCACACGCTGCATTTCACACAGGCTCTCATTATGTCGCAGTTTCGGAGAAAACTCGTAAACCGCGCGTTCACGCTAAACACCACTAAGGGATGAGCGGAGGTTTGTGCAGTGCTGTCCCCACGAGGCATAATAATGGCCCCCGTGGGCTCATTACGACCGTGGGTAGGAGGTACGTCTGAGACAGAGGAAAAATCCATGCTGCCAAACCCCAAAAAGGTTTAAGGTAGACGGATTGAATAGTAAGCCCTGCTGTTTATTTAACCGATAAGTTAAAAACCCAGCCGGCTTAAGCAGCGAGCCATGCTGCATATTATCTTCCATCTGTCCATCGAACACACGCGCCGCCACTCAGCGCGCGAACCTGCTCTGGATGTACTGTGGTTGTCATGGTGACGAGCCACGCCACAGCCCTCCAGACGTTGCATTTCACACAGGCTCGCCTTATGTCGCGTTTAGGAGAAGGCTCGTAAACCGGACATTGAGGTGCGTTCACGCTCAACACCCCTGAGGGATGAGCGGAGGTGTGTGCAGTGCTGTCCACACTGTAATAATGGCACTCGTGGGCTCATTACGACCGTGTGTAGAAGGTAGGTCTGGGACAGAGGAAAAAAAACCGAGCTGCCTAAAAACCAATAGGTTTTAAAGACAGCCGGTTTATGCAGCGAGCCATGCTGCCTATAACCGACAGGTTAGGGGCAGCCGGCTTACCCGGTGGGCCTTGCTGCTTATTATTATCCATCTGTCCATCGAACACACGCGTCGCCACTCTAATACTCTGAGAGTGCGCGACATGCTCTGGATGTGCTGTGGTTGTCTCGCCGCCGTTGCCCGTGAAGCAACCCAAGAGGGGCCCGGACCGAAAAAGCTGCGAGGGGGCCTCCACACGCTGCATCTCACACCGGCTCTCATCCTGTCTCTGTTTAGGAGAAGGCTCGTAAACTGGACATTGAGGCGCGTTCACGCTCAACCCTGCTGAGGAATGAGCGGAGGTGTGTGCAGTGCTATTCACACAGTGCGTAATAACAGCCCTGGGCTCATTACGACCATGTGTAGTAGGCACATCTGGGACAGAGGAAAAACCGGGCTGCCTATAACCGACAGGTTATAAGCCGCCTGTTTAAAGGTCAAGCCCTGCTACCTGGTTAATTACAGCTGGCTTGTGCCGCGAGCCCTGCTGCCTGCTAACTGACAGGTTACAGCCGGCTCAAACGGCGAGCCCAGCTGTCTGTTAACCGACAGGTAAAAAACAGCTGGTTTATGCACCTCCACACGCTGTATTGCACAGCGGCTCTCATCATGTCGCCGTTTAGGAGAAGGCTCGTAAACCGGACATTGAGGCGCGTTCACGCTCAAACCCGCTTGAGGAATGAGCGGAGGTGTGTGTAGGAGGCACATCTGTGACATAGGAGACAAACCTGTGCTGTCTAATAACCGACAGGCTATGAGGCAGCCGCTTATACAGCTTTTTTTATGACATCCGGAGGAGAGCTCTCCTGAACCGGGGGGACGGGGAGATCTCATTAGGCGGCTGCCTTTCCGATGATCTCCGGGAGTTCCTGGAGAATACCGACGTGAGAGCCGTGATGGCGGATAGAGGGACCCGGTGACCCGGGACCCGGTGTCAGCCCGGCAGCCGAACCTAGGCTCGCTGCCGGGCTGACACCAGGACCCCGCCCTGTCTCCAGAGGGAGACGGACACAATGAGTGCACGACACCTGGGGAGTGAGAGCCGCGTTTGCGTGCTCCAATCCCCGGCAGGACTCACACCGTGAGCGCCGGTCGTAACTCATAAGTCGGGTTTGACACCGGGCCCCCGCCCTGTCTCCCCCGTCCGGAGGAGAGGGAGGATGGGGCCGGGGGAACCCCATGGTGATCCGTGAATGGAGGGGAAGGAGTCGCCTGACTGCTGCCCGCCACTCGGATCCCATAAATCAAGGGCTTGGTCCACGGAGTAAGACTCCTGGACTAGCCAGTCATCCTCGGATGAAAGGCATACATACGAAATAATACAAGGTACACAAAGGCTATGGACAGACACTAAAGCATAGAATAGGTAGATCTCAAACTGACTCGAAAGCGAGGGAAAAGAGGTGGGTCTTTAGGCGGGACTTAAAAGTTTTGAGGGTGGGCGACAGTTTGACATGAGGGGGGGGGGGGGGGGGGGGGCAGGTCGTTCCAGAGCCTGGGGGCTACCGCTGAGAAGGCTCGGTCTCTCCTGGTATTTTTCTTGGTTTTAGGGGCTACCAGCAGCAGCTAATCAGCCAACCTCAAAGCCCTTGAGGGGGTGTCCACCTTTAGGAGGTCGGAGATGTACTGAGGGGCCAGCCCATTAAGCGATTTAAAAACAAACAATAAAATCTTAAAATGAACTCTAAAATGGACAGGAAGCCAGTGCGGGTTCCTGTAAGCAGCCGAGCCGCAGCGTTTTGTACCAGCTGCACGCGTGCCAGCAAGGTCTTGTTTAGGCCGGCATAAAGTGCATTACAGTAATCTAGACGCGTAGAAACAAAGGCATGAATTACACGCTCACAGTAGTCCGTTTGAGTTTTGCCCGTGTGAACGCAAACGGAACCTTCTGAGAAATTAAGCAATGTAACAAACTGTCGTCTGGTGCGCACCAGAGAAGCGGACTACAGGTGTGAATGCAACCTTAGTATATCAGAAAAGATAGTCCCCACTTCCCACATGAAATTGTCTGGACCTCATATTGGTGCATATACAGGAACATGTGTTTGTGTGTGTGCACCTTCCACAGTCCCAGCACCAGGAGTCCCAGCAGCAGCAGCCCCCCCACTGAGCTGCCCACCACGATCCACACGGAGACGATGTGATCCTTGTCCTTCCTCAGCTCCACAATGATCTACACACACACACACACACACACACACACACACACACACACACACACGCACGCTTTCTATTTTGTTACTGTACATTTGTATTGCAACATGTATATTTTCTACTTTTGTAATGCTATTTTATATCTTTTTGAGGTGTTTACATTTTGGATTGTTTATTTATAGTCTTTTAATTTCTCTATTGTACAGTGCCATGTCTTTTTATGCTGCTGCAATGCAAAAACTTTGGGATCAATAAAGTACTTATTTTTATCTTATCTTATTTGCACCTATCATTACTGTAATAATAAAGCCTGACAGCAGAGGGCAGCAGAAGCTCAAAACTACTATCTGCTGCTGTCAATACTAATATATCAAAGTGAAAAGGGAGACCTTTGACAGGCAGTCTGAGCTGTCATTTGGAGTTATAAATACACAGATCTCAGCGCTCTAATATATATATATTGATCCCAGGAGTGTGTACCTGTCTGAGCGGTCTCTCCTCCTGTAGGAACATCGGGCTGGAAGCTTCCAGCTGGACGGAGGCAGACGTCAAAACCTCCAGAGACCGGAAGCTCACCTGCAATCAAATAAACCAGAGGTGGGAAGTAACTAAGTACAATTGTTAGATACTTAACTTGTGTATTTCATTGTTATGCTACTGTGTACTTCTACTCCACTACAGTTCAGAGGTACATGGTGTACTTTTCCTCCACTACATGTATTTAATAGCTTTAGTTACTTCACAGATGTGGATGAATGATGTGAAATATAATCAAGTGTTAAATCAGACTTTAGTTCCACCTGGAGTAAATCCACAAGCTACCCTGCAGTATACAAAGTCATTCAAACTAGCTGCACCTTTACCAGCTTTGAGAACACTTTCATGATCAATCATTATAAAACATATCATAGATATTATTCTGAAATGGACCAATCTGCACAATGACTACTTTTACTGTCTCTACTTTAACTATATTTTGATGATAATACTTTTCTACTTTCACTTGAGGAACATTTTGAATGCAGGACTTTTACTGTAACTGAGTATTCCTACACTCTGGTACTTCTACTTTTACTCAAGTACAAGATCTGAGTACTTCTACTTTTACTCAAGAACAAGATCTGAGTACTTCTACTTTTACTCAAGTACAAGACCTGAGTACTTCTACTTTTACTCAAGTACAAGATCTGAGTACTTCTACTTTTACTCAAGTACAAGACCTGAGTACTTCTACTTTAACTCACGTACAAGATCTGAGTACTTCTACTTTTACTCAAGTACAAGACCTGAGTACTTCTACTTTTACTCAAGTACAAGATCTGAGTACTTCTACTTTTACTCAAGTACAAGATCTGAGTACTTCTACTTTTACTAAGTACAAGATCTGAGTACTTCTACTTTTACTCAAGTACAAGATCTGAGTACTTCTACTTTAACTCAAGGACAAGATCTGAGTACTTCTACTTTTACTAAGTACAAGATCTGAGTACTTCTACTTTTACTCAAGTACAAGATCTGAGTACTTCTACTTTTACTCAAGTACACGACCTGAGTACTTCTACTGTTACTCAAGTACACGACCTGAGTACTTCTACTTTGACTCAAGTACAAGATCTGAGTACTTCTACTTTTACTCAAGAACAAGATCTGAGTACTTCTACTTTTACTCAAGTACAAGACCTGAGTACTTCTACTTTTACTCAAGTACAAGATCTGAGTACTTCTACTTTTACTCAAGTACAAGACCTGAGTACTTCTACTTTAACTCACGTACAAGATCTGAGTACTTCTACTTTTACTCAAGTACAAGACCTGAGTACTTCTACTTTTACTCAAGTACAAGATCTGAGTACTTCTACTTTTACTCAAGTACAAGATCTGAGTACTTCTACTTTTACTAAGTACAAGATCTGAGTACTTCTACTTTTACTCAAGTACAAGATCTGAGTACTTCTACTTTAACTCAAGGACAAGATCTGAGTACTTCTACTTTTACTAAGTACAAGATCTGAGTACTTCTACTTTTACTCAAGTACAAGATCTGAGTACTTCTACTTTTACTCAAGTACAAGACCTGAGTACTTCTACTTTAACTCACGTACAAGATCTGAGTACTTCTACTTTTACTCAAGTACAAGACCTGAGTACTTCTACTTTTACTCAAGTACAAGATCTGAGTACTTCTACTTTTACTCAAGTACAAGATCTGAGTACTTCTACTTTTACTAAGTACAAGATCTGAGTACTTCTACTTTTACTCAAGTACAAGATCTGAGTACTTCTACTTTAACTCAAGGACAAGATCTGAGTACTTCTACTTTTACTAAGTACAAGATCTGAGTACTTCTACTTTTACTCAAGTACAAGATCTGAGTACTTCTACTTTTACTCAAGTACACGACCTGAGTACTTCTACTGTTACTCAAGTACACGACCTGAGTACTTCTACTTTGACTCAAGTACAAGATCTGAGTACTTCTACTTTTACTCAAGTACAAGATCTGAGTACTTCTACTTTTACTCAAGTACACGACCTGAGTACTTCTACTGTTACTCAAGTACACGACCTGAGTACTTCTACTTTGACTCAAGTACAAGATCTGAGTACTTCTACTTTTATAACACTTGTTTATTTGCAGTGAAGATCCTCAGACTCACAGTATTCAGGGCGTGGAGCTGCAGGCGTCCTTTGAGACTGAGCCTGACGTCTGAAGAGGCTGGAAGATTCAATCTGCAGCTCAGCACCTCACTGACTCCTGTACTCTGATTCTATAGAGAGGAGGGAGAGGAAGAGGAGGAGGAAGAACACATATGACTCCTGGAGGTCTCTCATCTTCCTGTTTTAAACTTTATTATAAAATTCATTGATCTCACCAGCTGTGACAGGTGTGTCAAGTCCTCTGCTGCGACCTGATTGGTTGATCTGATCGGAGGCAGCGAGCAGTGAGAGCCGGGCGCCTGAAGAGAGGAAGAGGAGGAGGAGGAAGAGGAGAAAGGGGAGTGGATTATATTTAGTTTGTAAATACATTTCTATAATTTTTTATATTGCCTGGGATTTAAGAAGCCCTGAGACACAGTTTCGTGAGAAAAAACTACTTTCTATTTTATATTCTGAGGTTTTGACAACTTATTAATTTATATTATATAATTCATGATATTGTAGTACCTGTAGGACGCTGTAGTCGGTGATGTTCAACAGCTGGTTCCCGCCCCGCGTCACAGCCCAGATCTCCGCTCTGAACAGGACGTCCGGCAGCGGGAAGACACCCGAGTTCTGGATCTGCACGAAAAGTAACGTTTTAAGGCAAGGCAAGGCAAGTTTATTTATATAGCACCTTTCAACACAAGGCAATACAAAGTGCTTTACAAAAATGGAAGACATTAAGAAAATGGCATTTAAAATCAGTCATTAAAGTGAAGTCGAAAACATTCCGGAACACGGTGACATCACTACGTCACACTTGGCTAACTCTCTCCGACACATTGTACGTTGTTGAACTCACATTATACGTGAGGTTGAAGGTGTCCGCTTGATCCCCGGAGGAAGAGGAGGAGGAAGAGGAAGAGGAGGATTTGATTTGAAATCGACGAGGGTTCGGGTCTCTGAGAGGAAGAGTTTGTTTAATTAAATTAATTACAAAACTTATTTTCATTTCACGTAAGATATGAATTCGTCGTTCCTCACCTGGTGAAGAGGAGGTCGGTTTGGTACTTCAGAGGGAGGAAGATGTCTTTGATGTTGTCGTCTGGGAAACCATCCTCTCCCTCACTGACACACATACACACACACACACACACACACATACACACACACACACACACACATACACACACACACACACACACACATTGCAATAACAACATTAGCATGAATCACTCCCTCCCTCTGGAAAACAGTAAGGCTGTGTGTATTGTACATTTCAGGCTTTTATTGTGAAGGGTAAGAAGGAAAGGTTGAAAGACGTAATAAAGTTTGTTGTCATGTTGTTGTTTTCTAATTGTTGTTTATAAAATGTGATTAGTTGATGCCCAGTGCAACGGCTGAGGACGTTTTTTTTCCTGCAAGATATTCAGAAGTTCTATTAAGAAATATATTTACTGGTGACATAATTGCAAAAAAATAAATGCTCCTGTGTATGAAAGATTTTAATCCTAAAATATAAATTTGGAATAAATGTGATGATGTACACTTTGGGGACCTGGTGTCCGTAAATGGGAGTGGGGTCCCCACAAGCACTGAAAACAGAAACACACACACACATACCTTTACTTCTGTACTTGTGAGGAACCCTAGACTTCACCATTTTAACCCTAAAACATATTTTTAAGATGCAAAACTTTCCTAAAATGTTATTTTATAATGAATAAACTGACATTTAAAACATTCAACATTACCGGACAGCTAGTTTTAATAACAATGTTGTAAATAAAAGGCATAATTTAGCAAATAATAGCCCAAAAAATACAAATATTTTATGTTCCTGTCTCTCCAGAATCAAATGAATTTTTCTTCCTTTAATAATAACCTCTTATCGCCGAGCATGTGGTAATGATATCCAAATTTAATCAAATTTTTTAAACAATGTTTCCCCAACAACCCTCTCATCCAATCAATGTCTCTTTAGTCAATAGACCAATCAGGTTGTGAAGAATGTACTAATTATAAAACAACAAACCAAAACAACTTTATTACCTACTTAATGCAGAAACATTAACTTTTGTATAATTTTGTATTTTATTGAAATGATCTCAGGTGTTTTACCTGCTGGTTGCCATGAGGACGCGGATGTGATCCAGAAAAACCGAACGGCTGAACTCAAACTCCAGATGGAAAGACACCTGGACAGGAAGAGAGCACGCTGCTTTTCAAATTAAAACCCACAATCCTGCAAATGTTTATTCAAAAAGTCAAGGTCAACTTTATTGCCAATCTTTCAGTTTATGTATACAGAGAGATCGAAATACGCTTTCCCACAATCCAGAGGAATAAAAAATACAGGTAACACTTTATATTAAGGTACACATATTAACCATCAACTAGTTGTTAATTAACATGCATATTAGCAGTATATTGGCTCTTTATTAGTCATTATAAAACACTTATTAATGCCTTATTCTACATGACCATATTCTACAAGTAATACGCCATTAGTTGAGAGTTTTTCCTCAATAACCCTCTAATTAGTGCTGATTTATTGCAAGTAAGGAAGTTGTTGCACATGAGTTTTGGTCTTAACCTGTTCAGCCCTGAGCCTGTTTTTCAGGTCTCAGGCTCGAAAATGACATTCCCAGAACAAATGACCATATCTTCCCTTCTAAAAGGGTTAAATTAATAATCTTTTTTCTCAAAGTAATGATAAACCTGTGAGTTGGATGTAGAAAAGTCAGAATCAATATAGATGTTTTTTTATTTTAAAGAATATTCAGATTTTACATAGTAAAAAACTGTAAATTATAGTGTCCGTCCAAGAATTCTTTTTTACTTATAGTGAAAACTACCCTTGGTGGTAAGGTAGACTAAAAGCTTTAGGAATCCAAAGTACAACATATAATAAGCACCCTGTATCAAGATTGATGCAAAACAAGTGACATTTGACCTTTTTAGAGAGATTTAGCAAAAATAAACCACTTCTGGGGTCATTTGGGTGGATTTTCCATATCTCTGGCCCCCCTTGGTCGATTTTGATGGTTGACACCTCTTTCTGACCGATAGAGCCAATATAATTGAAGGGGGAGTCCCCCACACACACGTTGTGAAGAGAAGAGGTGGGGGCTTCGCGCATGCAGTTTTGCATCAGAGCGAACCTATCTCTAGCTTTGACATCTAGAAACGGAAAAGCAGTTTTAATGCTTATGGATTATCAGAAATCATTTCAAAGGGACACAGACACATTAGATTAACCTATGGATTAACTTCAGCAGCGTTTTTATCGTTTTAATTCCATTGAAGACCACTTTGGAGAGACTACAGAGCCAAGGTAAAAATGTTAGCATTTTTAGCTACCTAGCGTCACCTGTTTTGATGTCTGTTTTTGTTTATAACGTCGCAAATACGTATAATTCAGTGATAATGAGGGTACCCATCGATTCTGTGTCACCTCACGATGTGAAACGATGTCATGGATGTAGAGAAAAGATAAATAATAAGGTTTTGTGAGTGATTTTCGGTGCAGTAAGGTGTTAGCATTTTTCGCTCGTTGCTAATTCAGAGGCTCAGTGCACTGTGGGTTTTCTTTTGAAAAAAAAAAAAAAATCAGTTAGATGAGTTTTCTTCCCGTTACATGGATATAAAACATTCATAGTTTATTAAATGAACATGCCCTCAGACACTGTTTCCTGCAAGATGTTGCGGCAGTGCCCCGGTACCGGGGTCTCTCGGGCTTAACAGGTTAATATGCGCTGCTCAATATGGGCCTAATAAGGCAGCAGTACCACAAGAATAGTAATTCTCCCATAATAACACTTAACCCTCTGAGACCCACATAGGACATTTCCGTTTTTGTATATTTGTGTGTTTTGCCTTTTTTACATTTTCATTTCTTTACAGTATAATCAAGTTTTACACATCCCAGAAATCAGCAAAACCTCGGCTCATGATATATGTCACTCATTAGAGACTGATATACAATATAATAGGGGATATTTGCCGATAAATAAAAATAAAAATAAATTAGACTACACATGATATATATCATGGCAGTTCCTGTCCACAATCACACATGGCATGCTGAGCAGATTCATCTGAAGTTTCATCAACATCGTCCCCTTGAAAAATCAGCTCCAAAGCCTCAGCTGTAGGAAACGTCCTTGCCGTGCCTCAGTCTACTTTTAAGACACTAAAAGAACATATTCCAACTTTTATTTTGTTTTCGCGGGTGGAATTATACCGGGTCTCGTTTCAGTACACAAAACAACGGAACTGACTCTGAATCAGACTCCAATTGGCTGTGACTGCATCCACTCAGAGTGTCCGATTCAGAAACATGACTCTTACACTCTTTACCTCACAAACAAAGATGGTGGATGAGAATAGATCTATACAAACAAACAGAAAACGATAAGCAATGCGCCAGAATCAAGGTGAGACTATCCGCATCTTTTAAAACTTTACGCACATTCGTTTCACCGAAATAAGTAAACGCCTCTCAATGAAAAACTTAGTGCCGAGTTGTTTAGTGCCGTTTCTGTAGTTTAAGAGGAAAAATACGGCATATCTTTGGCTCAAACAGCTGAGAAGTTATGACGCTTTGAACACAACGTGATATTTGGGATCGTATGCGGCCCCGTGGGTCTCAAAGGGTTAACAAATATGATCTATTCTTATGTAACAAGATATGAAACTAAGTGTTAATTGTGTCTAAATAACTGTATACACAATCAACAGGAGGTTCACATCTAATAAATGTATAAAGAAATGCATTAGAAATGGAACATAGCTTTGTTTTTTCTCAGTATTAAAAACTATGTCCAGTTATTGCAATCTTTTTTATTTTGTCATGACATGTCTAAACACAATTCATAACTGGAAGATAAATATTTAAGCGTCCATCTGTCAGCATCAGGTGTGAGTTTATGATCTAATGGATGTTTAATGTCTCAGACGGTTTCCTCCTGCAGCCTCGTTAAGATCCTGGACCAATTACCTTCATTCAGACCCTCGGGGGGGGGGGGGGATTCTGTCTGTTTAACCACTATCATTAGTCTGACTGTAAAACAGCTGCATTATAACACCTGTTGCTGCCTGTCTGCGGCTGTAATTACTGACAATCCATTTTTTTTAAAGGGTTGAATCCGCATATTCTGTGTGTTTTATGTTTAGTGAATTATATTATGAAATATTCTAAAAAAACACACTTTTGGAGAGTCAAAAATAATGATTATTCACCATCGTGTGACCGTATTTTTGTACCATTTACCAAGAGCAAGGGCTTAAAGAGGCCCTATTCTGCTTTTTGGGACCTCCCTTTCCTGTAGTGTGTTCTATAGGTTTTAGTGCATGTCAATGGTGTGCAAAGGCTAAAATCCCTGTGTTTCTCTCCCCCTGTGCCTGCAACACCTCCATTGGTCTCCTTTGTCTACTTCTGTGACATAGTGACATCATTATGTAACACTCACGCTCCTATTGGCTAGCGCTCCCACACATTGTAAGTGATAGGCTAAGGGGCGGGACATCTCTAAGCGGTTAATCATTTAATAATCTGTGGTGATTAACATCAGTACAGGTGTGCAGGCCAGGTGCAGAATGTACCTGAGACAAAGACTTCATGAACGGAGCGCTGATGGTACAGCTCCTCTGATTGGCCAGTCTGTCCTCAGAGTGGCACTCGATCTGAATATCTGATTGGTCCTGAGGGGAAAGGGGGAGGGGCCAGGGTCACAGAGAGTTTATTTAACCAGAAGTGGCCGATTGAATGTCTTTCTTCAAAGACCTGAAGCCTTTATTTACACTGTTAGTCTATTTCTATTTAACAATATGCGCGGAAATGTGAGGTAGGTAGGTAGGTAGGTAGGTGTAGGTAGGTAGGTAGGTAGGTAGGTAGGTAGGTAGGTAGGTAGGTAGGTGTAGGTTGGTAGGTAGGGTAGGTAGGTAGGTAGGTAGGTAGGTAGGTAGGTAGGTAGGTAGGTAGGTAGGTAGGTAGGTAGGTAGGTAGGTAGGTGTAGGTTGGTAGGTAGGTAGGTAGGTAGGTAGGTAGGTAGGTAGGTAGGTAGGTAGGTGTAGGTAGGTAGGTAGGTAGGTAGGTAGGTAGGTAGGTAGGTTGGTAGGTAGGTAGGTAGGTAGGTAGGTAGGTAGGTAGGTAGGTAGGTAGGTAGGTAGGTAGGTAGGTAGGTAGGTAGGTAGGTAGGTAGGTAGGTAGGTAGGTAGTTAGTTAGGTAGGTACCTTGACGATGAGGCTGGAGAACACGAGGTTGGAGGAAGTGGAGATTTGGACGGACGCTCCGTAAGCGTTTTCTCCCTGATTCTCCAGCCGGGCGAACACCACCACCCTCCTCCGTCCAGCCTCCACCACGTGCAGCGAGCCTTGCGGCGTCCCCTGCTGGCTGCACAGAGACCAGGACGCCCCCTCCCTGGAGCCGCAGAACTGCCTTCAGGCACAACACAGAACATTAGCATTATAAAGAGTTAATTCATACAGTAGATAGATACATCAATTTAATGTGGCGTTCCACAGGGATATGTACTGGGACATTTTTATTTTGGTCTGACTTGGTTTCATATTGAAAAAGCAAATATTACAAATAAGTTAAAAAAACATGAGTTAAACAACAAACAAATAACAAATTAATTAATTAATAAAAAATGTAATATACACATATCAGCAGTAGAAAGTTGTATCTCTATAAAGTATCTATAATATAAAATATACAGAAGTAAGAATACACAAATAAAAAGTGTGAAAAGTTGAGGCAGAGTGAGTTTTATATGTGCAAATTGTGCAGGGTTATGAAATAAAAAATATATAATAATGAAAATAATAAAAAAAGAAATGACAAAAAAAGTTATAATAATAATAATAATAATGCTTGTGTGTGTTTTTGCACTCACTGAGCGCTCATCAGGTCGGTGTGGCTGTGCAGGATGAGGTCGGGGACGCAGACATCTTCCTGCTCACAGCCGTTCCAGAAGGGAAGCTGCAATAAATGATGATATCGCATCAAAATAAAAATAAAATTCCATTAAAGCGTAATGTTGCCCAATATTACAAATCAAACTGTACTGTAATTCTGTACAATCCACATTAGGCAACATGCAAAGCAACACATTTTACATAATTGTTTTAGTTGCCTTATAAAGAACATGTATTTCACGACAGCCTTGAATTTTGTATATGTTTGTATATTTTTCACCCAGCAGATTTGATCACATTTTCAGGAGAGCCATAATAAATTCATAAAAGAACCAAACTTCATGATTTTTGTTTTGTGACACAAAATGATGTGCTCCAATAAGTCTATCACAGAAAAATAAGAGTTGTAGAAATTATTGAAAAGTCAAGACTGCCATGACATACATGTTCTTTACAAGTGTATGTACACTTTTGACCACAACTGTCTAACTTTCTTAAAGAAGAAGCCTCCTCTGACGGTAATGACCCCTCACCTCGGCCCTCAGGACGTTCGGCCAATCAGGATCCAGCACCGGCCCGTCGTCCGGACTCTGCAGCCCCGTCTCCAGAAGCACCGCCAGGGGGCGCCCGTAATCTGCCGTCTCCTACTCACAAAGACTCAGACTGGTTAAAGCTCACCTAGAATGCTATATTTGAACAATATATTATAACGCCAGATCTATAGAAAACATGTCTCTGCAGTGTTCTGCTCCAAACCCCAAACAGATCCTTGTAGCCCCCCCCCCCCCTCTCTTCCAGCTGTTACTAAGGAGCTGACTCTGGGTCAGTAGCTTTAGAGAGAGAGTAGATCTCATCAGGAGAACTCTCCCAGCAGAAACTCAGCTAAATGCTGCCGTGACTAAACTCCATATCATGTTCCAAACCACATGAAGGATTCTCTCTGAAACAGTATGGAGCTCAAACTCTTTCTCTCTCTCAGGTTTACCACAAGGTGACTTCCTTTTGATTTCCTGCTTCTTCACACATGCTCTCTCCAGTACAGGTTAGCTCTGAGTGTTAGCATGCTAATGTAAACACAGACCATATTACTTCCAGAACACGTCTCATTGTTTCTCACAGCAACATTTCTGATTGGCCCGTGGGTTTAAAGCCCGCCCACATTTTAGTAATGTGGTCATGACGCAGCAAATCTGGATCAGCTCCGTTGTTCCCCCGTTTTTAGAGATGTGGGTACGGAGGAAAAGAGAGAGGGGTTTATTTCTGACACTTTGAGAGTCTCCTGACACACCGGGGACACATGGTGATGTAGAGAAGACATCACTTTGTGAGTCTCCTGACACACCGGGGACACACCGGGGACACATAGTGATGTAGAGAAGACATCACTATGTGAGTCTCCTGACACACGAGGGACACATAGTGATGTAGAGAAGACATCACTTTGTGAGTCTCCTGACACACCGGGGACACACCGGGGACACACCGGGGACACATAGTGATGTAGAGAAGACATCACTATGTGAGTCTCCTGACACACCGGGGACACATAGTGATGTAGAGAAGACATCACTTAGTGAGTCTCCTGACACACCGGGGACACATAGTGATGTAGAGAAGACATCACTTTGTGAGTCTCCTGACACACCGGGGAGACACCGGGGACACATAGTGATGTAGAGAAGACATCACTATGTGAGTCTCCTGACACACCGGGGACACATAGTGATGTAGAGAAGACATCACTTAGTGAGTCTCCTGACACACCGGGGACACATAGTGATGTAGAGAAGACATCACTTTGTGAGTCTCCTGACACACCGGGGACACACCGGGGACACATGGTGATGTAGAGAAGACATCACTTAGTGAGTCTCCTGACACACCGGGGACACATGGTGATGTAGAGAAGACATCACTTTGTGAGTCTCCTGACACACCGGGGACACACCGGGGACACATAGTGATGGAGAGAAGACATCAAAAAGTGCATTTTGCATGATAGGAGGCCTTTAACCCTTGTCCTGTTAGAGGAGGTGTTTCTCACCTGGATGGAGAATCCGATCCTCTGGCAGCTCCGACCTCCGCCCTGTAGGACCAGGATCCTCGGCTGCTGACGCTCAGACTCATCCAGGACGGCTCGGGGGGGGAGAACGCCTCTCGTCCAAAACCAGACTGAACCACACAGCTGCAGGGGGGGGGGGGGGGGGGGGGGGGTGGGGGGGGAGGGGGTTAAAGGACGAGAAGATTGACATGTCATTTACATATTGTGTTTTGTTTTGTTTTGCTACGTATTTTTCTTGTACGCAAGATCTGAGTACTTCTACTTTTACTCAAGTACAAGATCTGAGTACTTCTACTTTTACTCAAGAACAAGATCTGAGTACTTCTACTTTTACTCAAGTACAAGATCTGAGTACTTCTACTTTTACTCAAATCGCAAAAAAAAGGAGGCAAAGTTTTACATGTCCTTCAGGTGATGTGATTTAAAGTGGACCTATGATGCTATATTATAATAATATAGTGTAGGACCATACCTATATAAGGCATATTTATACTTTTTTTTTTTTAAATACCAAACAGATCATGCATTTTAGCCATGCCTCATTTTGCTCAATTTGACATTTTTTTGATCTGTTTTAGCAAGGGCTGATTCAATGAGAACAGCACCACCTACAGGCCTGGCATATGTACTACAGCGTCTCCAGCGCTTTCTAACGGCAATGGCCGTGGCTGTCTCCTCCTGATTGGTGGAGTTGGCCCAATAGCCGTAGCGCCACCGTCCTGACGTCAGGACAGTGTTCAAATCTGGATCAGTTTTTATCAGATCCGTTGCAGCCCCTTTTTTAGAGATTTGGGTATGGAGGAAAATAGAGAGGGTTGTGTTTTCTGACACTTGGTGAGTTCCCTGGAACACCGGGGACACATATTCATGTAGAAAAGAAGTACACAAGTGCATTTTGCATGATAGGTCCCCTTTAAAGCGACGTAACTTTCTTACCTCGTTAATGCAAACTAAACCTGTTATGTTTCCAAAGGTTTTCTATCTGAACGTTGGCAAAGAGGACATGAATCATTAGTTTTTCCATTCACTAATCTTATATGAGGATGTATTACACACGATTACACAACCATCCACAAGTCACACTTTCCACTCTGGGTTGACACATAATCGATGTCCCTCTTTGGAAACAAGCAAGTAATCACTCACTAAGTGAAACAGGAGGATCATGCAGTGCCTGTACGGGCTGTATCTAACAGATAGAAGACAAGGTAACAGGAGTGGGAGAGGACTGGCTTCTTCTGCAGAGAAAACAGCCGCGTTTGGAAGGACACTCCTGCGTGGACAACCCTCAGCAAATATTATTTCCCCAGTCAAAAGAGAAATGACTCAAAATCTAAAGCACATTTATTGTATTTTTTGTATCCACTATTTGTTCCTATGTCTTAGTACCTATCTGTGATTCACCGTGTTTTCTGGGAGTGGTTGAGAGCACTCTAAGAAAAGATCACGAGGAAAAAACATTTCACCGTCCACAAACCTGTCCAACTGAGGAATCATACTTTGAAACATAAAGAAACCAAGAGACTAAGAGCGTGTGATTTTATTATTGTCGTAAAAAGCAGCGGCACGTTTCTCTGACAAACTGCACTAACTTGTGTTCCTAATTACTTTTGAAATGGGGTAATAATGACTTCTTCTGTGTTTCTGATTGATAAAGTAAAGCTTGTTCTGCTTCTTGTTAGTTTTTTGGATGCAGAGTTTTTATTCTCATCTGTGCAGCAACTGGAGTTCAGATTAACGACCGAGCCGAGAGCCACGTCTGCACAAGAATACTTTTTACTTTGACTTCTTACATTTTGAACACAAATACCTGTACTTTCTACTTCTTACATGTTGAACACAAATACCTGTACTTTCTACTTCTTACATGTTGAACCCAAATACCTGTACTTTCTACTTCTTACACGTTGAACCCAAATACCTGTACTTTCTACTTCTTACATGTTGAACCCAATACCTGTACTTTCTACTTCTTACATGTGAACCCAATACCTGTACTTTCTACTTCTTACATGTTGAACACAAATACCTGTACTTTCTACTTCTTACATGTTGAACACAAATACCTGTACTTTCTACTTCTTACATGTTGAACCCAAATACCTGTACTTTCTTTACTTCTTACATGTTGAACACAAATACCTGTACTTTCTACTTCTTACATGTTGAAACCCAAATACTGTAACTTTCTACTTCTTACATGTTGAACCCAAATACCTGTACTTTTCTACTTCTTACATGTTGAACACAAATACCTGTACTTTCTACTTCTTACATGTTGAACACAAATACCTGTACTTTCTACTTCTTACATGTGGAACCCAAATACCTGTAACTTGTCTACTTCTTACATTGTTGAATACAAATACCTGTACTTTCTACTTCTCACATGTTGATCACAAATACCTGTACTTTCTACTTCTTACATGTTGAATACAAATACCTGTACTTTCTACTTTCTTACATGTGAACACAAATACCTGTACTTTCTACTTCTTACATGTTTGAACACAAATACCTGTACTTTCTACTTCTCACATGTTGAATACAAATACCTGTACTTTCTACTTCTTACATGTTGAACACAAATACCTGTACTTTCTACTTCTTACATGTTGAATACAAATACCTGTACTTTCTACTTCTTACATGTTGAACACAAATACCTGTACTTTCTACTTCTTACATGTTGAACACAATACCTGTACTTCTTACTTCTCACATGTTGAATACAAATACCTGTACTTTCTACTTCTTACATGTGAACACAAAATACCTGTACTTCTACTTCTTACATGTTGAACACAAATACCTGTACTTTCTACTTCTCACATGTTGAATACAAATACCTGTACTTTCTACTTCTTACATGTTGAACACAAATACCTGTACTTTCTACTTCTTACATGTTGAACCCAAATACCTGTACTTTCTACTTCTTACATGTTTGAACACAAATACCTGTACTTTCTACTTCTCACATGTTGAATACAAATACCTGTACTTTCTACTTCTTAAATGTTGAACCCAAATACCTGAACTTTCTACTTCTTACATGTTGAACACAAATACCTGTACTTTCTACTTCTTACATTTTGAACACAAATACCTGTACTTTCTACTTCTTACATGTTGAACCCAAATACCTGTACTTTCTACTTCTTACATGTTGAACCCAAATACCTGTACTTTCTACTTCTTACATGTTGAACACAAATACCTGTACTTTCTACTTCTTACATGTTGAACCCAAATACCTGAACTTTCTATTTCTTACATGTTGAACACAAATACCTGTACTTTCTACTTCTTACATGTTGAACCCAAATACCTGTACTTTCTACTTCTTACATGTTGAACACAAATACCTGTACTTTCTACTTCTCACATGTTGAACACAAATACCTGTACTTTCTACTTCTTACATGTTGAACACAAATACCTGTACTTTCTACTTCTTACATGTTGAACCCAAATACCTGTACTTTCTACTTCTTACATGTTGAACACAAATACCTGTACTTTCTACTTCTTACATGTTGAACCCAAATACCTGAACTTTCTACTTCTTACATGTTGAACCCAAATACCTGTACTTTCTACTTCTTACATGTTGAACACAAATAGCTGTACTTTCTACTTCTTACATGTTGAACACAAATACCTGTACTTTCTACTTCTTACATGTTGAACCCAAATACCTGTACTTTCTACTTCTTACATGTTGAACACAAATACCTGAACTTTCTACTTCTTACATGTTGAACACTAATACCTGTACTTTCTACTTCTCACATGTTGAACACAAATACCTGTACTTTCTACTTCTTACATGTTGAACACAAATACCTGTACTTTCTACTTCTTACATGTTGAATACAAATACCTGTACTTTCTACTTCTTACATGTTGAACACAAATACCTGTACTTTCTACTTCTTACATGTTGAACACAAATACCTGTACTTTCTACTTCTCACATGTTGAATACAAATACCTGTACTTTCTACTTCTTACATGTTGAACACAAATACCTGTACTTTCTACTTCTTACATGTTGAACCCAAATACCTGTACTTTCTACTTCTTACATGTTGAACACAAATACCTGTACTTTCTACTTCTCACATGTTGAATACAAATACCTGTACTTTCTACTTCTTACATGTTGAACCCAAATACCTGAACTTTCTACTTCTTACATGTTGAACACAAATACCTGTACTTTCTACTTCTTACATTTTGAACACAAATACCTGTACTTTCTACTTCTTACATGTTGAACCCAAATACCTGTACTTTCTACTTCTTACATGTTGAACACAAATACCTGTACTTTCTACTTCTTACATGTTGAACCCAAATACCTGTACTTTCTACTTCTTACATGTTGAACACAAATACCTGTACTTTCTACTTCTTACATGTTGAACACAAATACCTGTACTTTCTACTTCTTACATGTTGAACACAAATACCTGTACTTTCTACTTTCTCACATTTCCCAAACAGGCTGGTTCCTTTAGTTTGAATGTGTGTTTGGTGGCGTGATCATTATTATTTAGAGTCATTGCGTGCCTATTGATTTGAACACGATCCGTGTATCCATCATTTCCTGGTCTTCTCTAAAGAAGAGGGACCAATGAAAACGTTGTCATGTTGCCGTTGTTCAGCATGGAAACATTCATTAGCTAACAATGACATTATTGTTCTATTAATATAAAGGGAGGTCAGGTACTCTTTAAAACAGCTGCTAGTTATGGGTACTTTTTACTGAAGTACATTTCAAAGCCCTCTTTACTTTGACTTGAGTAAAGAAGTTTAGTCAGTACTTCTACTTTCACCAGAGTATTTTTAAACACGAGTATCTGTACTTCTACTCCATCTCTCCACCTACCCACATCCTGGCTCTTGGTCCCTCTCTTGGTCCGTGAGTCCAGGCTCAGACAGACGGACACGGACATGCAGGTCACCTCCTTCCCCCCCCGCAGGCAGTCCTTGTTAAACATGTTCACTTTCTCCGGTTCAAAGGTCAGCGTGGCCTGAATCCGCACCACGCCCCGAGACCTGAGGGGGAAACGTTGAGTGTTACAACAGCAAGAGTATAATGTAGATTAGGTCAAAAAGGGGAGGCTGACATTTTATATAAATAAGTATGCACACGTTATTAATAATTAAAAGAACAATAATACAATGTTTACATACAGTGTTTAGCCATAGGTTCATGTTGGGGAGTATGTTACCCTTAAAACCTTCCCCCTTGAGATAAACATGGCAAAAACATCTTGTTGTATTTAACGGACCGGTTATTCATCTGACAAAGCATGTCTTCTTTCACACTAGTGGGTAAGGTTGGTGTGTGTGTGTGTGTGTGTGTGTGTGTGTGTGTGGTGTGTGTGTGTGTGTGTGTGTGTGTGTGTGTGTGTGTGTGTGTGTGTGTGTGTGTGTGTGTGTGTGTGTGTGTGTGTGTGTGTGTGTGTGTGTGTGTGTGTGTGTGTGTGTCTCACCACACGATGACAGCAGCTCCCAGAGCTCCCACTGCCAGGTCCACCAGTCCGTCTCCGTTAGCGTCCAGAACTCCATGGAGGCTCTGCCCGAAGTACTGGAGACCGGAAGAGAGTCCGGCTGCAGAGACGCGCTGCGAAAGGGTCATTCATTTATCTATTTATCGAAATTCTGACTTTAGTCACAGAAGTCAGAGAAACGATCAGAGTTCTGAGAAAACATTTGGGAATTCTATAACTAGATTTCCGAATAATGTTCTTTTGGTCAGATGTAAAAACAAATTCACATCCTATTCCGTAGATTTTGGATTCTGAGAGAAACTTTTAACATCTGGAAAAACGAGAAACCACATGCTGGTCCTTATGATTGTTTAATCGTTAACAGATATTACCGTTTCCTGTCTGTACTGGTGTTGGACGGTTCTGTAGATGGACTTTATTGAAACGGGAAACACATGCAACTGGTTCTGATGATTTTTAAATATTTACCCAGAGATGGCAAAAGTACATCCTTTACTCAAGTAGAAGTACAGATACTCGTGTTTAAAAATACTCTGGTAAAAGTAGAAGTACTGACTAAACTTCTTTACTCAAGTAAAAGTAAAGAGGCTTTGAAATGTACTTCAGTAAAAAGTACCCATAACTAGCAGCTGTTTTAAAGAGTACCTGACCTCCCTTTATATTAATAGAACAATAATGTCATTGTTAGCTAATGAATGTTTCCATGCTGAACAACGGCAACATGACAACGTTTTCATTGGTCCCTCTTCTTTAGAGAAGACCAGGAAGTGATGGATACACGGATCGTGTTCAAATCAATAGGCACGCAATGACTCTAAATAATAATGATCACGCCACCAAACACACATTCAAACTAAAGGAACCAGCCTGTTTGGGAAATGTGAGAAGTAGAAAGTACAGGTATTTGGGTTCAACATGTAAGAAGTAGAAAGTACAGGTATTTGTGTTCAACATGTAAGAAGTAGAAAGTACAGGTATTTGAGTTCAACATGTAAGAAGTAGAAAGTACAGGTATTTGTGTTCAACATGTGAGAAGTAGAAAGTACAGGTATTTGTGTTCAACATGTAAGAAGTAGAAAGTACAGGTATTTGTGTTCAACATGTAAGAAGTAGAAAGTACAGGTATTTGGGTTCAAGTCGTCAGAAAAATAAGTAGTGGAGTAAAGTACTGATACCAGAAATATGTACTTAAGTACAGTAACAGAGTATTTGTACTCCACTACTTCCCACCTCTGTATTTACCAGAGATGAGCGTTTCCTGTCTGTACTGGTGTTGGACGGTTCTGTAGATGGACTTTATTGAAATGGGAAACACATGCTGGTCCTGATGATTGTCTAATATTTATATTATATTATCAGAGATGAGCGTTACCTGTCTGAAGCGGTGTTGGAGGGTCTTCTGGTGTCCGTAGAAGACGTACAGCGCCCCCTGGTGGTCGTCCTCCAGCGGCGCGCCCACCACCAGTTCCCTGAACCCGTCCCCGTTCATGTCGGGAATCTGAGCCAGCGCTGAGCCGAGGCGGGCGTTCTGAGAGCGGTCGGACACCTGCAGCGCCCCCTGCAGGACGAACGAGGTCTGCAGGGACAGGGGTCAATCTGTTCTGAATATCTGCTCTTGAATATGCTTCTGTAGTGTGTACTTGCGTGTATGCAGCTGAGCCTTTGTGTGTGTATGTGTGTGTGTGTGTGTGTGTGTGTGTGTGTGTGTGTGTGTGTGTGTGTGTGTGTGTGTGTGTGTGTGTGTGTGTGTGTGTGTGTGTGTGTGTGTGTGTACCTGTGGTGTGACAGTGTAGATGTAGACCCTCCCCGTCTCCCAGCCCTGGCTGTAGAACATCGGCGCTGCGACCACCAGGACGTCCGTCTGTCCGTCATCGTCTACGTCCATCGATATCAACACACTGCCGAAATATGAGCCGATCTGAAAAAGGAAAGAAAACTTCAGAAATAAATCAACATTAACATTACGTTAACACTTGTTAACCCCAAAGCCCCCGTCGGCGGGTCTTTTTTATTCACAAATTTTTTATTTTTTTTTTATTAATTTTTTTTTTTTTTTTTTTTTTTATTTGGATGGAATGAATACCTATGGTGATAATTCAATGTAATTCATCATTTTTATAGTCTGGTACCTGAAAAAGGTCAAATGGCACTGATGGAACCAGATGTACCCAAATGTGCCGAAAGCTTATTCCGCCTGGAACTGTTTTTTGGCTAATCCTCTCTAAAAAGGTCAGATTTAACTTGTTTTGCATCAATCTTGATACAGGGTACTTATTATATGTTGTAGTTTGGATTCCTAAGCTTTTAGTCTACCATCCCATCATTCAAGGGTAGTTTTCACTATAAGTAATGTTTTTTTCTTTAGGCGGAGGTAAGAATTTACCTTTTTTTACTATGTTCCATCTGAATTTACTCTGACTGAGAACATCTATATTGATTCTGACACTTCTACATCCAACTCACAGATGTAACCTTGCTTTGATAAAATAAATTATTCATATAACCCTTTTAGAAGTTAAGTTGTAGTCATTTGTTTTGGGCATGTCATTTTCGAGCCTGAAACCTGAAAAACAGGTTCGGGGCTTAACAGGGTAATGTATGTATACTGTTTATAAGAGTGACGTTCAGTCGTTGGAAACGTACCTAAAATGTTGAATGTTCTTATTTTAACAATGTGATCACATGACTCCTTCTGATGTTACAGATCTGCTGTAAGCTAACTAGCTAACGTAGCTCGGCTGTCACAAGGACCGATACAGGAGAACTGCCCACTGCAATAAATCACCTCTGGCTGGAAGAGGAGAACTCTCTGCTCCATAGCTTCTCTTGGAACAAAACCATGTTGTACATTTTACATTTATATAATCTGTTCAATATTTAATATTTAATATGAATATTCCTTCTGTCATATATTTATGTATATATATATTTGTATAAATTCAACATGTATATTTTGTACTTTCTTGATTATTTCTAGTCTTTGAATTGTTATTGTATCGTGCATTGCCTTGTCTTCTTATGCTGCTGTAACACAACAATTTCCACCTTATCTTATCTTATCTTATCTTAGCTAACCTAGTAATTTCAGATATACTGATGAACACTTACAGTTATGAGACGACTAACTCTGAGACAGAGACAGTTGCTTTATAATCCCCCCAAAATATTTTTTTGTCAACTTTTCTTTTCTCGCCAACAGTGTCCCTTGGTCTCCGTTGTATTTTGAGCTTCATGCAGCGCTTTGTATTTGCACCTGTCGGCCACCGTAGTTTGGCTCTTTCACTGTCAACACTAAACTTTTTTTCTGGACTCTTTGAAGTTCAATATTATCAAATATTTCACTTCATGAAATGTACAGAACTCTCAGGGAGAACACCCTCATTCTGGAGACAACCATGTGTCGCACATATGTGAATACAAAAATGTGTGTGTGTGTGTGTGTGTGTGTGTGTGTGTGTGTGTGTGTGTGTGTGTGTGTGTGTGTGTGTGTGTGTGTGTGTGTGTGTGTGTGTGTGTGTGTGTGTGAGACCTGCTCTCCCAGTAGCGCCTGTAGGATGGTCAGGTTTCCGGTGTTTTTCAGCGTGAACACGATGACCTTCCCGGTGTGGTTGAACCTCGGTGCTCCGGCCACGTAGAGCTGAGCGCCGCGAGAGGAAATGAGGGAACCAACCGAATAACCTGAGACCAGAACACGCACACAAAGACCAAGAACATTATTCATATGTTTCTTTCCCTTAGGTTTTCCAGTTACCCCATAATACTGAAGTACAACTAGTTGAAAAGTGCAAAGAAAAACAATTTCACGTTCTTTGTTTGGCTTTTCAATATTTTCTGGTACGCATATTTTATTTTTCGTATGTTTTTCGTATGTTTTCAAAAATGTGTCTCCCAAGTGTTTTCATAGTTAACTTGAATTTTGGATGTGCCTTGCTAGCCAATTTAGCCGGCTAGCTGTGGCGTTAGCTGGTGACATATTGTTTGCAAAGCTAATGGTTCTTTGGTCCTACCTCCTGCCAAGCTCTACCCTTTTGTCGAATAATTTATGCCCCAAAGAAACTCAATTTTGAAGTTGGAAATACCAAAGAAACTTCAAAACGGTCGTCTACAGACCAATGGATGACGTCATGTTGGCTTCATCAGTCAGTCTGTGGTTTTTGCAGCTGGACACACACATATATATATATCACTTTTTACAGACAGTTTATGGGAACTTCACAGAAGGTGCAGCAGAGGTTTGTTACCCAGATAGGCTCCATGGTTCTTCAGCTCTTCTGGAAACTCGTCCTTATAGGAGGACTTTGGTGGAACCACCTTCCCGTGTTTGGTTTCTTTCAGCACGGCACCGTTCCAGTCGTAGGCGCCAACCGCCCCGAGCAAAACGCCATCCTGAGGGAATACAGATCTGTTAATGAACTCAAAGAGAGACCTGTTCTTTCTGTATAAATAATCTGTCTGTGACTCAAAGTTTGGACCTAGTTTGGGAACGTCACTCTGGCGCTCGTTAAATCCAGAAATGAAAGTGCGTTGAGTCATGCTCTCTACGGGCCTCAGTAGATGACCCAATCTTTGGCGACTTTCTGCAGGATCTGACCCTGGATCTGCAGACTCACTGTGAAATATGACGTGTCGTCATGCTGCAGGAGGGAGAGGAGGATGGATCTCCTGCACAGTGACTCTTCCAACAATTCGTCTGTTTTCCACATCAGTCTGACTCTGAGTTCTTACCTTTTAATCCCTCGGAGCAGGAAACACATTGCATATTTGTCTGTGTGTGTGTGTGTGTGTGTGGTGTGTGTGTGTGTGTGTGTGTGTGGTGTGTGTGTGTGTGTGTGTGTGTGTGTGTGTGTGTGTGTGTGTGTGTGTGTGTGTTGGCAGCTTCACGTTCAGGAAAACCATCTGCTCTGTGTTACACATAGAAAGTTTCCACGACACCATTTAATCTCCCTGACGTTGGCGCTGAGACAAATATGACTTTCCCTGGACCAGAAGCAACAGAAGTATTTCTAGAAGCTTCTCATCCTGCAGCTTCAGACTTCTGCAAGACTCAAACTGAGAGAGAAAGTTTAGCGTTCAACTGTTTCTTTCTCCTGGAGTCAGATTCAATAAATACACGACTCGTCGCCTGCTGACTTTCATTGGATCACAGTTTGTTTCACTGAAGGAAACTCTGTTTATTTGACCAGCATCAAGTATAAACCTAAACTGGCCAATACTCTGTCCTATAGAAATACAGTTAAATCTTGATCTTGGGAATAAAAGATGATACAATTATCAACTACTAAAGAAAACTCTACCCAAAGAAGGAGTCCAATTTAGAAAGAACAGTGAGTTAGAAACATCAAGAGAATCTCTGAGATCTGAAACACAGATTTCAGACACCAAATCAAATCACACATGGAGGTACACCAACCTTTACATCGATCAATAGTAGAAATAAATTAAGATTAGCATGGTTATCACATCACCTTAAAAACACAGCAACTGTAAGTTAGTGATACCCTTACATAAGGACGTACATTTGACCATGATTTCACTCACTTTGACTAAATGTGAGGAGAAACCCGCCTGAGCCATCTGCAGACCGAACCGTCGACCCTGACTTCCTGCAGAACAAAAACAGACAACATCGTTCTGTAACTTTCACATTTTAATAATAATAATAATAACTTTACATTTAAGAGCTTTAAGAGCTTTACATTACATATCTTACATATATTAGACATGTAACAATGAATACTGAATGAATACCCACTGGAGCATATTAAAGGGGACCTATCATGCAAAATGCACTTGTGTACGTCTTTTCTACATGAATATGTGTCCCCGGTGTTCCAGGGAACTCACCAAGTGTCAGAAAACACAACCCTCTCTATTTTCCTCCATACCCAAATCTCTAAAAAAGGGGCTGCAACGGATCTGATAAAAACTGATCCAGATTTGAACACTGTCCTGACGTCAGGACGGTGGCGCTACGGCTATTGGGCCAACTCCACCAATCAGGAGGAGACAGCCACGGCCATTGCCGTTCGAAAGCGCTGGAGACGCTGTAGTACATATGCCAGGCCAGTAGGTGGTGCTGTTCTCACTGAATCTGCCCAGAGCTAGAAATTATCAAATTGAGCAAAATGAGGCATGGCTAAAATGCATGATCTGTTTGGTATTTTGAAAAAAAAAAGTATAAATATGCCTTATATAGGTATGGTCCTACACTATATTATTCAAATATAGCATGATAGGTCCATTTTAAGTTAAAGGTGGGGTAGGTCATTTTGGAGAAACCGGCTCGAGATCGCTAGAATTTGAAAATACACAACCAGAAAAAATCTGCCACTTCCTCACAGAGCCCCTCCTCCAACACACACGAACGCGCACATGACCAATGAGGGCACGAGATAAGTTTGTGCACAGATGGAAGGCTGACAGGCAGGTAGGCCATCCAGTCATTTTAGCCGGGCCGGCTCAGATGATTGGTCGTGCTTTTTACAGTACTACGGCTTCCACAGATGAATTTTCTTTATGTATTTATTGTCAAAGTATTTAATATATCCATTGCTCTCGGGATGTTAAGAGCATTCCATGGAATATAACAAAAAGTGTTTCTGAAATAAATTACATACCCCACTTTTAAGTTAATAAAACTCTTTAAATGGTCACACCAGTAGTGCCGATCCCACTGAGGATCAACAGCTCGTTGCAGTTCTAAGTTTCTGTTTTGGTATCTAACTAACTTCTGTACTTTCTGCAATATTCCAAAATCACATGGAGAAATCCCATTGGACCAGGGAGATGCTGCCTTCAGGGTGGGATACAAGCTGGTTTAGTATTTCAGAATCACATCCCTAACTAGAGGTGGGAAGTATTGGAGTACAAATACTTTGTTACTGTACTTGAGTACATTTTCTGGTATCAGTACTTTACTCCACTACTTATTTTTCTGACGACTTTTTACTTTTACTTCTTACATTTTGAACCCAAATACCTGTACTTTCTACTTCTTACATGTTGAACCCAAATACCTGTACTTTCTACTTCTTACATGTTGAACACAAATACCTGTACTTTCTACTTCTTACATGTTGAACACAAATACCTGTACTTTCTACTTCTTACATGTTGAACCCAAATACCTGTACTTTCTACTTCTTACTGTGAACACAAATACCTGTACTTTTCTACTTCTTACATGTTGAACCCAAATACCTGTACTTTCTACTTCTTACATTTTGAACACAAATACCTGTACTTTCTACTTCTTACATTTTGAACACTAATACCTGTACTTTCTACTTCTTACATTTTGAACACAAATACCTGTACTTTCTACTTCTTACATTTTGAACCCAAATACCTGTACTTTCTACTTCTTACATGTTGAACCCAAATACCTGTACTTTCTACTTCTTATATTTTGAACACTAATACCTGTACTTTCTACTTCTTACATGTTGAACACAAATACCTGTACTTTCTACTTCTTACACTTTGAACACAAATACCTGTACTTTCTACTTCTTACATGTTGAACACAAATACCTGTACTTTCTACTTCTTACATTTTGAACACTAATACCTGTACTTTCTACTTCTTACATTTTGAACACTAATACCCTGTACTTTCTACTTCTTACATGTTGAACACAATACCTGTACTTTTCTACTTCTTACACTTGAACACAAATACCTGTACTTTCTACTTCTTACAGTTTGAACACAAATACCTGTACTTTCTACTTCTTACATGTTTGAACACTAATACCTGTACTTTCTACTCTCTTACATGTTGAACCCAAATACCTGTACTTTCTACTTCTTACATGTTGAACACAAATACCTGTACTTTCTACTTCTTACATGTTGAACACAAATACCTGTACTTTCTACTTCTTACATGTTGAACCCAAATACCTGTACTTTCTACTTCTTACATGTTGAACACAAATACTGTACTTTCTACTTACATGTTGAACCCAAATCACCTGTACTTTCTACTTCTCACATTTCCCAAACAGGCTGGTTCCTTTAGTTTGAAGTGTGTTTGGTGGCGTGATCATTATTATTTAGAGTCATTGCGTGCCTATTGATTTGAACACGATCGTGTATCCATCATTTCCTGGTCTTCTCTAAAGAAGAGGGAGTATTTTTAAACATGAGTATCTGTAATTCTACTTGAGTAAAGGATGTGTGTACTTCCTGTCTGTATCAGCACATATTCACCATGCAGAGGATCGACTCACCTTCCAGAGAGAAGATCCTCTCTCCCAGCGCGTCCACGATATCCTTCAGCGAAGACTCGTCCGACACGTTGAAGAAGTGCTGCTCATCCGGGTCGCTCGCAATAAACTTTATTTCCTTCAGGAAGGCTTCAGGGTTGATCCCCCGGCGGTTGTAATAACCCAGAACCTGGAAGAGATGCAGAGGAAACCCTTTTTCAAACTAAAATATGAAACTTTCCAGCATTAAAGTGTCGGAAAATGTCTGAAGACTACAACTCCCATGATCCCACACTTCACAACCATTACGGCAAACTTTTTAATTACTGTTCAATGACGAGATTGGCAGCAGAATATAAAAAAGGGGCCTATGGTGCATAAGCGAGGAGAAAATGGGAGAAGAAAGAGGAATACATTCCAAGTTCTCAGGAACAGAAAGTTGATTGAGTAAAACAGGATTCTGATTTCAGACAGGAAGTCAGACAGGAGGTCGGACAGGAAGTCGGACATGAGGTCGGACAGGAAGTCGGACATGAGGTCGAACAGGAAGTCGGACATGAGGTCGGACAGGAAGTCGGACATGAGGTCGGACAGAAAGTCGGACATGAGGTCGGACAGGAAGTCGGACATGAGGTCGGACAGGAAGTCGGACATGAGGTCGGACAGAAAGTCGGACATGAGGTCGGACAGGAAGTCGGACATGAGGTCGGACAGGAAGTCGGACATGAGGTCGGACAGGAAGTCGGGACATGAGGTCGGACAGGAAGTCTGACATGAGGTCGGACAGGAAGTCGGAAATGAGGTCGGACAGGAAGTCGGACATGAGGTCGGACAGGAAGTCGGACATGAGGTCGGACAGGAAGTCGGACAGGAGGTCGGACAGGAAGTCGGACATGAGGTCGGACAGGAAGTCGGACATGAGGTCGGACAGGAAGTCGGACATGAGGTCGGACAGGAAGTGGGACATGAGGTCGGACAGGAAGTCGGACATGAGGTCGGACAGGAAGTCGGACATGAGGTCGGACAGGAAGTCGGACATGAGGTCGGACAGGAAGTCCGGACATGAGGTCGGACAGGAAGTCGGACAGGAGGTCGGACAGGAAGTCGGACAGGAGGTCGGACAGGAAGTCGGACAGGAGGTCGGACAGAAAGTCGGACATGAGGTCGGACAGGAAGTCGGACATGAGGTCGGACAGGAAGTCGGACATGAGGTCGGACAGGAAGTTGGACAGAAAGTCGTACAAAAGTCGAATATGAGGTCGGAAAGGAAGTTGGACAGAAAGTCAGAGAATAAGTCAGACAGAAAGTCGTGCAAAAGTCGAACAAGATTTCGTACAGCGATTCAGACAGGAAGTCCGTAGGGTATTTGGGTCTTGAAGGACTCACAGCGATGGCGTACATGGTGACGTTGTCTCTCTCACTGTCGGCGACCGCCTGCACCAGCTGCGGACTGTCATGAGATTCTCCGTCTGTGATCACGATCATCACCTTCTTCGCGCCGGGTCGACCGCCTCGCTTGAACCCTTCGGACCTGAAGACCAAGGAAGAGTTAAACTGCGTCAGAGATCCTGGTTGTGGTGTTAAGACCTCCTTTCGTGTTCGAGTCAAATCTGAGTACTACTTTCATCAATCATAAATACTGTGTCTTACATTTGATTGCCTCAAGGCCTTATGATATCCTCCACAGTAAACATGTGACATTGCTGATCACCACTTCATTGAATTTTGAGTTTTATTCAACTTTGTAACATCTATTGTGCTCCCAGTAAACAAACGACCACTATATGAAATGAATGGGTTTCCCTAGATTGTGTTTAAGCATCAGAGAGTACACACCCACAAATGTTGATTTGGGAATACATTTACAGTGTCTATTTCTTGTATATTCACTGCATATTCATCCAATAGTCTGAGACATTGTTTACAGCTTAAAAGGGTTCATGTAGGAGCAGTTAAAATAGAACAGTCAAAATGGACCGGAAACACAAAAGTAAGGGAGGAGAAACAACAAGGGGGGGTTTTAGAAACAAGAGACTTCTTTTGGTGCCGTACCGCCCCACGTTGATGCCAAGGGCCGTCCTGGTCTCCTCGCCCCCCCGCTGGTCGATGCCCCGGGCAGCCTGTACCACCTCCTCCACCGTCTGGTACTCCCCCAGACCGAACTCATGGACCACCTTGGAGCCGTACTGAACCACACCCACCTGCAGAGGAAGCACTCCACATGAACCAATGCACCTGAAGGTATCACAACACTATAGAGCGGTGCAGGGATGACGTATTTTTGTAGCCCGACCCTGAAGGAAGCTGCTGGTTCCCTCGACAAAAAGCGACGGGATTTCTCCATAGGATTTTGGAATATTGTAAAAAATAAGATCTGTGGAAAACGAACCTGTTTGATAAATGTTTTGTTCAGGATAATCTCCACATGTCTACCCTACTTTTATAATGTCAGAATCATAAATCTAATGTCCAGAAGCAAAATGCTAACGTTATGGTATAAAGGAACTACAGGCGAGTTCAGCAGCACAACTTCAACGTCACGCCAACTTCAGATCCATATTCAAACATACAGATTCTAAATGGAACGAGTTGAAGCGTTTGTTTGAACAGTTAGCAGGAGGCAGGGACTTGCTTTCAAGCAGAACAGGGCAAACTAACTTAGAGGAGTGTTTACGTGTTTGGCGTAATGACGTACAACGACCTCCACGACTTCTGTAGTCCTATCCAGCCACTTGGTAACAACCATCGTTTTTCAGACACATCAACTCTTCAGAAATCACCAGTGGGGTCACTGCTGATGGATTTAATGTCCTAGAACAAAACGTGATCCGTCTCTTACATGTGTCTCAACCACAGACCTTATTTACAGATAGTTTCCTAAATCCTATGGAGAGATCCCATTGGTTCAGCATTGATCCCACTGGACTTCTTTTAATTCAGCGATGAACCGACCTGCGTCTGACCTGGGCCGATGTAGAACTTCTGCAGGATGGTGATGAGGAAGTCCTGCACCTCGTACCACGGGTAGATGGAGTTAGAGCCGTCCAGAACGATCACAATGTCCATGAACGTCTCACACCCTGCAAGATAATTACCCAGAAAAATCTAATTTAATTAATCATAATTTAATTAAACACACTGTATGTGTTTACTGTATATTTTTCGACTTTTTAATGCTGTTTTAATTCTATTTTGACTTTGATTTTGAGATAAATGGAATGATGGATGTATGTATAAATGGATTTATGAATGGACGGATGATTCATAGATAGATGATGGATGGATAGATGTGTAACTAGATGAATGGATGGGTACAGATGGATACATGATGTAGATATTCAGATGGATGGACGGTTATATGTATAGATTGAATTATATTGGATGGGCCAATGTGAATGTCTCACTCTGCAAGACGAGGGCTGGATATACTTTATATTCAGAGATGGGAAGTAGTGGAGTACAAATACTTCGTTACTGTACTTAAGTACATTTTTCTGGTATCAGTACTTTACTCCACTATTTATTTTTCTGACGACTTTTTACTTTCTACTTCTTACATGTTGAACACAAATACCTGTACTTTCTACTTCTTACATGTTGATCACAAATACCTGTACTTTCTACTTCTTACATGTTGAACACTAATACCTGTACTTTCTACTTCTTACATTTTGAACTCAAATACCTGTACTTTCTACTTCTTACATGTTGAACACAAATACCTGTACTTTCTACTTCTTACATGTTGAACACAAATACCTGTACTTTCTACTTCTTACATGTTGAACACAAATACCTGTACTTTCTACTTCTTACATGTTGAACACAAATACCTGTACTTTCTACTTCTCACATTTCCCAAACAGGCTGGTTCCTTTAGTTTGAATGTGTGTTTGGTGGCGTGATCATTATTATTTAGAGTCATTGCGTGCCTATTGATTTGAACACGATCCGTGTATCCATCATTTCCTGGTCTTCTCTAAAGAAGAGGGACCAATGAAAACGTTGTCATGTTGCCGTTGTTCAGCATGGAAACATTCATTAGCTAACAATGACATTATTGTTCTATTAATATAAAGGGAGGTCAGGTACTCTTTAAAACAGCTGCTAGTTATGGGTACTTTTTACTGAAGTACATTTCAAAGCCTCTTTACTTTTACTTGAGTAAAGAAGTTTAGTCAGTACTTCTACTTTTACCAGAGTATCTTTAAACACCAGTATCTGTACTTCTACTTGAGGAAAGGATGTGTGTACTTTTGCCCTCTCTGTTCATATATATTTGATGTGATACAGATGTGTATAAAGGGTTTGTCTCACTCTGCAGGGCGGGGGCGATGGTGTGGGACAGTTTGAAGGTCCTGCTGACTCTGGAGCAGATCCCTGTGCTGTACAGCGAGCTGCCACACTCATGAGACCAGAGAGGACCACAGGTCTGAGGACAGAGACACCCGGTCAGTCCCAACGAAGACTTCAGAGGGGTTTTATGAATCATGTATACATTGACAGTGAAGCTGAGTGTGTGAGCGTCTCACCACGAAGCTGCTGTCTCTGGGGTTAGAGGTCAGCGTCATCCCCAGCCTCATGTTGTCCTTCCTCTCCGACACGTTGTCCAGAGAAAGTCTCCCTGACGCACAACATCATCACACTCAGGTTAGCACTGGGACTTAGCATTAGTTATTAAAAACCATAACATGATGTAAAACAAAACAACCACCATAATTAATTAAAAATATATATAAAAATGAAATATATATATATATTGATAAGTACATAAAACAGAACATGTAACAGCCGTGCTGCTGAGATACTTGTGTTTCTCACCCAGGTTGAGTCTGCTGCAGTTTGCAGAGTTCCTGTCCAGAGGGCACCTGAACACATCACCAGTCTGCTGCTTCCCTGTGGACTCCAAGGGAGCTCCAACCAGCAGCCTACACACACACACACACACACACACACACACACACACACACACACACACACACACACACACACACACCACACACACACACACACACACAACACACACACCACACACACACACACCACACACACACAGAGAGAGACACACACACAGACACACACACACACACACACCACACACACACACACACACACACACACACACACACACACACACACACACAGATTACATATAGAATGCAATGTAAA